GGATGATCGCACCACGTTGTGTAAAATTGGTCAAGCACCCTCGAGGCAGTTACGCAGTGCTTACATCTGTCTCAGGAAGTGAAAGCACTAGAAAATAAATCAAGTCATATGCAGCTGTCATCCGTTTGCAAGGAAGGAAGCATAAGATGCCGAACACCCTTAGCAGGATGCAGCGCACCCTTCATGCGACTCGCCGAATATCTCACGGCGCTTCGCGCTTGGTGATGTGAGAGCCTGGTCCGGTGAGAACCCGGCGTGCTCCGTCCCGGCTTTGTAGGGATGCGAGGTCAATGGTCTAACGACTACGGCATGCACAACTATGAGTACCCCCCCCCCCCCTCCCGCGCTGTACCGCAGAACCTGCCCTTCGAGACACTCGTCAGTAGGTGCAAGCAAATGTTTGACGATAACAGGAGGAGCAAAGAAAAGGCGGAGAAGGACTCCGAGGGCAAGACCGGGGTAGGCGAGAAGGACGCTGAAGTTTTGACGAGGAGAACGAAAAGGGGTCCGAGGCAAGTCGATCGTGTTCTTTTTCTCGAGGCCTCACAAACCATGAAGCGGAACGGCGTTGCTATTCGGTGGTTGCCGACATGCAGTTGATCACGTGCCGCCATAAAGCCTAAACTGACGCATGTTAGTTTTCGAAGACCCGAAGTCAGAGGTCGGTTGGCCCGAAGGGTTTCTTAGCATCATCGAGTGATCTTCTACTTCATATTTCGGGTGTTGCTGTAGTCCTTCTCACGCGGGCCAGCCGTTCATAGGACGCGGCGTCGTCTTCCATAACTAAGCTAGACCGTGCACTCAAAAAAACAACGCGTAGTCTTGCTAAGCTTATTGTGTCGCCAGCGGTTCTGGCCACCCCCCCCCACCCACCCACGACGGTTGCTAGGATTAGACTGTAGCGTCGATAACTTTGGGAATGCCAAATGATCAACGCCCAGTTTTCCCCGTGGAGATGGTGCAAAGTCCGCCGCCAATCTCTTACAGCACAAAAAGTCGTCCTTCCCCTGGCAACCGCTCAAGCTGGGCGTGGGCGTAGCGCCTANTAGTCCTTCTCACGCGGGCCAGCCGTTCATAGGACGCGGCGTCGTCTTCCATAACTAAGCTAGACCGTGCACTCAAAAAAACAACGCGTAGTCTTGCTAAGCTTATTGTGTCGCCAGCGGTTCTGGCCACCCCCCCCCACCCACCCACGACGGTTGCTAGGATTAGACTGTAGCGTCGATAACTTTGGGAATGCCAAATGATCAACGCCCAGTTTTCCCCGTGGAGATGGTGCAAAGTCCGCCGCCAATCTCTTACAGCACAAAAAGTCGTCCTTCCCCTGGCAACCGCTCAAGCTGGGCGTGGGCGTAGCGCCTACCTTGTCGAACTTGTTACGGTGTCAGGGTTAGCCAAACCATAAGGATATTCGGGGGTAGGTAGCAGTGAAACCGCTGAGAGCTACGTAAGAGCTATGTAGGTCACAGATGTAAGGGTTGCAAAACAACGGTAAAAATGCCCGTGAAAGTCAAAGAGGACCAGTGCCGGTTGCCATACCAATGTTGCCTGGCTGGGTTACGGTAGTAGTATGGCGTGTATTATGTGGATCACTGCACTCCCGTATCCGGCGGGTCCTACGCAGTCCATCTTGTCTTGTGCTTTAGGTCGAGCAAAGCGGTCATGAACTTACTCGAGCGAAGCGGACGGTTTTTTTTGCCCTCCGCATTTGTCGTTGGGGCGTCCATTGACGCCCCCCCTCCCTCCCCAATACCCCCGCCGAACAACCAAACAAGTACCCTCGAGCCAACTGATGGTGTGCAAAGTCCACAATTGGTTGTAGGTTTCCCGGAGCAGGGTCATAGATTGATCTGGGTTAGAGCTTGCATTAACTTTGGAATCGAATGATCATGTGTTGTAGACGTGCGCTGTCTTGACTAAACAGTTCGATGATTCGTCGGTGTTTTGTTTCGTTCGATCGCTTGTTCTTGTGGCACATGCCGTCGTACTTCGAGCATATGGATAACTGTGCCAGTTTCCGTTGGCATACATGTTTCCGATTTCGTTGAGAGGTGGCATATGTGGGGGCGATTCGGTGCCTTGGTAAGATTCTTCTCCGTAGGGTAGGTGTAATGATAGGGTCAGGTGGACCAGGCTTGATGATTGCCGTCGAATCGTCCCGTAACGGATCGGCCCCAGTGATCGAGCCCGGTCTACCTGAGCCTAGTGCTGCGCTGGCTAACCGGAGGTTCTTTGCCAAAAAACATTGACTTAAAAACACTCAATGAGATACTTCACAATCCGCATGGTGGTAACTCGTCCGCTTTCACCAGGACTTCGTGCACTACGGATTCTTCGCTTTGTACCCGACCTCTGACGTGCGCAGCATGTGGGGTTATATCGTCTGCAGGCGCCGTTCGGATAGGACTGTGTTCACCCAAGTGCATCGGCGAGTAAAACGATTTTGGGCACGACTTTTCGTGACGCACCCCGTCACGGTCAAGTCATACATCTCGACTAAAAAGATAAGTTAGAAGATACAACTATGTTTTTTGTACTTGAGGTTGTCTTCACATGACCAAACGCAAAGGCCTCACTCGGTGCCTTCTAATGTTTGTACTGGTCCAACTGACGCGGACACCTCCCGTGACCACAAGCCAACTATCCCCAAACGGGGTGCACCATTTTAAGAAATAAAAACGTAACAATGGACACAAGAAAATTCCTCCAAGGCACGATTCATTTTCTGCCCAAACAAAAAAGGGCACCTAAAGAAAAACTAACCCGGATACAGGCAAACGACCTCGGTCTAACAGAAAGAAAGAACGTGAAACAAACAAGGCAAATAAATAGGAAAGGAAGAGAAAACCCAGGAAACAAACAGGAAGATATACAGGTCCCCTCCAACGCTCCAGCCCACAGGAACAACCACGAAATAATCCCGAGACAACATTACGGTGTTTCGCATTATCAGGGGAACTCGACCGTACAACGGGACCTCTACCCTCCTACAAAAATTCGGGAAAACAAGCGCAATAGGCAGCCAAGGTCTTGAACCCTGCCCCCGCTGTTATCACTTGGAAGCCGTGAGGTAACCCAAATCATCTGAACGAAACGAAGCTTGATGTCAACCCCTATACCTCACGTCGATGTGGCCATGTTCAGGATGGTACCGGACAGTGCGGTGCCAACTGCAGTAGTTACTTCCTGCATCAGTCCCATGCAAATTAGACACACGTTGTCACCCCTGTCCCGAAAGATATTCTTGGAGGGAAGGGGGGGTAAGGTCAAAGAATTTCGCTGTCGAGTTTGGGTAGAAACAGCAGTGGCAATTCGTCAGGATACCAGCCACCGCGTACTGCTTTCCAAGACCGCATGCGCTGAGGACCACCTGCTGCTTCTTCACGTAGTCGACGAAAGGCCACAACGCCACGACCCGGCCGAAGCCCCATTCGACAGTCATCCATACTCTACTCATCGCCCTGTTGAATGCCACCTCGGCAACAGACAACAAGCCCTTGTATGGCGCCATCAGCCATGGGGATACCTGGTATGCTGGGTCTCCGTAAATGTAGTACGGTGCGCCCGCCGCATCGTTGAATGACTGCATCAACGTCTCCAACAGCCCACTTAGCCCCAGCAACCTCACATCATGGCGCCTACCGAGCATAGGACCCCAAAGTNTCATCCATACTCTACTCATCGCCCTGTTGAATGCCACCTCGGCAACAGACAACAAGCCCTTGTATGGCGCCATCAGCCATGGGGATACCTGGTATGCTGGGTCTCCGTAAATGTAGTACGGTGCGCCCGCCGCATCGTTGAATGACTGCATCAACAGCCCACTCAGCCCCAGCAACGTCACATCATTTCGCCTACCGAGCATAGGACCCCAAAGTTGACGGATGATGCCATCCGGGGAATCTACCGCCTGATACTTCAATGAGTGTACACGCTTTCATTCGTCATATTAAATGCGTTGATTTCGCCAAGGACGAGCAATCTTACGAATAGTTCCACCTAGGAATCCCCAACACCTAGTGAGAGGTGATCCGCGGCCGGCAATGGCCTCGCAGAACGAATCGATTTTGGGAAGGATGGCGTCTACTTGCAAGTCATTCACAAGATCACCCCAGCGTTCGAAGATTGTCTCCATTGTTAGGTTGAAGATCTCGCATCTGAGCGTCTCCGACATCCCCCAAAAAATCCTATCGCGAATCAAAGTCGTCGGTGCCGCCAGCCTCCACAGTGTCACCGCGAACGCCAGCCTCACTGGAACCCTCTGAACTCCATATCCTCCACTGCAAGGCATGGGGTGCAGAAAAAGAGTCGAATGCGAGGGTAGCACTACGGGTTATAGACCGACGATTTTAGCACGAACCCATGAGGCCTAGGGGTTAACGATGGTGCAATATACCGCTGGGCTGACCCTGGTGTGTAGAAGTAATCGTCATCAGCGTAAGGCTCATACGGATAAGCGTCAGACAGATGCTGTGGAGTATATCGGCGTCCGAAACGTCGCGGTTTTTGTCCTAGGTTATGTTGTCGTGGGCGTTTTTTTTACCGTCGTCCCGATCGCTGATAGGACAAAACCACCCTCTGCGGAACGCCCCCGATCGACACGGTTTGGGGTCATCCAATCGGCGACAAATCCCATTTGCACGGGTGGGATTGTAGTCGGTTGAGCCTTGACTCTCTTTCAACGTGCAGCGCGTATTGCTCGTCACATGCTTTCTGCTAGGTTGTACAGCTCATGCCGCCATGATAGGTACCATGCACAGTGCGGTTAGGAAACAATACGGCCAACCAAAGGTCAGCACTGTGCTACAGCAGTACACCGACAACAATCCTGCAACTTACCTCCGTTTCCTCTCTCCTACACAACCAAGTTTACTGCCCATACACACGCAAGAGCACTGCAATCACTCTCCCCCCATAATGCATACTTTACCCAAGGGTCAGCAGAGCGATAAAATACAAGAAAACAAAATATAATCAGAAACAAATAAAATAAAATAAAATAAATAATTAGATTAGTGTATATTTGTTTTTTCAAATAGGTACAACAACTATATAATAATACTGCTGTAATAAACAGTACTTTGTAGTAAATAGATAAACTAACGTATGTCGGTTATTGCATACTGCTGTAGCTTTTCTGCACGTATACTTGTTTTCCCTAAATACTGCTGTAAAAAGCCCCCCTCGAACGACTATGAATTTCGCTCGAACAGGGAGCTTTTATGTGTTTAACGGGTAGTCTTTCTGTGTGCATATTTGTTTTTCCTAATAGACTATATGTATTTTTCTAAATTAAACCAGCAACTACCGTCAACATGACATATTGCGCCGTGTTCCCTGTGCAGGCCACATGTAATTGTACCTACGCAGATGTTTTTGTGCTAAGCACCAACTGGTATCACTGATATAAATCATCAGTGTATAGGCATAAACAAACCCGAAATAAGTCAAGTACCCAGCTGGTTTTCCTCTACTCACTGTAAAGACTTCAACACATCCCCTTCGAGTGTAGTTATACCTCGAACGGGTAGTCTTTCTGTGTGTATATTTGTTTCTCCTAGTAATTGTATGAAGAGCAGGACCAACTTCTATTGATTCGACGGGTTTCGTAACACTTCTTTCAAGCAGTCTGGACTAAATATTCCTATGAGACTTACTTGGAGTCTGGCGTGTGACGGGGACTGTACGAGCGTCTACACATCTTACTTCGTAGGGCATACCTACCTCGTCTCCATAGAAAGGGTGGATGAGCTACATTTGATTCAACCCAAGCGCGCGTACGACCTAGGCTGAAGAATGGACCGGACCCTCTGCTTGGAAGTAGTTGTCGCTCGATGCGGAGTCATGTGAATGCACACAAGGCGCGGTGGTGGCGGATGCACCCAACTCATGAACTTGCCACGCTAGACGCGCCGCGAGATAATTTATACTTGGACTATGTACCGCTGCATCGTCCACACGTCAGGAGGGCAACACGCCACGGCATGTCGGGGTTAGCTTCGGTGCTTCTCCTGTCAAGGAGGATACGTGGTACGACAACTAGCGCAAGCGGGATATCTCACCGCGACACTTCAAACGTATCCGGTAGCTGGAGCGCGTCCAACAGCTCCAGGAAGTGAGGTTTCTCGAACCTGAACAGCTCTCCTTAAAGTCGAATCCTCCGATTCTCTCGAAGTAGTCGAACCGGATACCCTCGATCGTTGTCGCTGCCACGAGCTGCTCGTACATCTGCCAGCGCAGCAGGCTGTACGTCCCAAGCAAATAGGGCTTCCTCTCCCACAGGCGCACACAGAGCTGCGATCGTGGTGAGTTGTATGCACTCCGCGTAACGCTCGACTGCCAGCCTCCCTCGCGCTAGTCGCGCCATGGCTGTGAGCGCCCTGCTACAGCGAGCTGCTGTCCAACTACAGCACAAGCACGGCGCTTACACGCCCACACGCACACACGGCCGTCAGCGCCGCCGCCGCTGGAAATAGGGTTTCCAGCAATTTCCCAAAACGTTTTAGTTTTCCTACAAAAACGGGGTACGCACCGGGTCAAATCGACACGATGCGGCCCGACTCTGGACCGGATATTTTCTACAGCAACTTAAACCGATGTTACAGGAAATCCATAAGCTCCCTTCTTCCCCTCGCTCCTCGACAAGCTTTTGCTTAGACATGGGTTGTAGTGAAGGGGGGGGTCTTTCTGGCGAGCAGGGCTAGACTCACCCTCAAGGGATGACCGAAACCTTCTTGCTGCTGCGCATATCCGCCGCGAGGCATGCGCGTGGTGGTGTAGTTGGGTCGGCACTGATGGGGTCAGGCGAAAAAATGTAGATGCGCGGGCCTCTGGCCGTCGGCGTAGGCAGCGATGCCCATCTCATTTTTTGTGCGCGGAGGCAGACACCGTCAGAAGGTGGACGGGAACTATGTACACGGCCCTAGGTTGGCTAGAGGGCGCTGCATTGCCTCAGTAACCTGGCTTCGCCATCAAAGGAGGAGGGAGCAGGTGGCGACGAGCTGAACTGGGCTGGTTGACCCCTTCGGCGCGAGAATTTTTATTTTTCAGACCAAGAACCTTGAGTGCAACGAGGGAGAAAGCGAGGAACCGACTGGGAAGGACAGCAACGGGAGCGTGTACGGACGGAGCAGGTCGAGTGGCGTTATGCTCGGGCTGACTACAGCGGCGCCGGACGGAGCAGCGGCACCGGAGCATGCGGGCGACATCGACCCGTGGCGCACGGACAAACATTTATATCTGATCTGTGTTGTCAATTTTTCTCGTTTTTTTCCTGATTTTCGGTGTTGGTTCTATGTGATGACGTCGTCACTGGTTTTGTAGAGAGACCCGTCAGAGATGGCGTGGCTAACCCGGGTGCCTTGGTTATGTGCCTGATCGTGGAAGACCCCTTCAATGTGGAACGATTCTTAGCTATTGTCGATATTTTCACTGCGTGCCTAACACAGACGATCGGGAGAGATTCGGGTGATTGTCCATTGCAATCATGGCTTTGGTTGGTTGTTCTTTTTCACTGTACGTCCGCAGACACATTCTGACAGCACTTCAGACAGCAGCTTTGTGCCCCGCCAGCTTCTTGTTCCATGCCTACCATGGTGTTTTTGTACAGACAGCACTTCAGACAGCAAGTATGCTGTAGTCGGCAATCATTCGTTTTGGTACAGAGTGGGACAGGTAGGGGGTGATGTTGCTGTAGTCGAACGGTGAGACGGACGTGTAGTTCAGTTTTGGGCACGCGTACGGTGCTGCAGGGATTATATATAGGTGTAGTAGTACCTCTTCGGGCTCTTGTACACCTTTTTCTTGCTACGTGTGCGTGTTCTTTAGATCCTCAGATGGCTCCAGCACTTTCGTGACCACGGGCCGAGAGTCTTTGCTAGATTTTGGCATTTAGCAACTGGCATACGGTTTAATGTGAAGTCAACAACAACAACAATAGGGGAACCCCAGACAGGCTGGTGGTGCGGCAGTTCCACTAGTCTAATTATTTATTTTATTTTATTTTTTTTGTTTCTGATTATATTTGTTTTCTTGTATTTTGTCGCTCTGCTGACCCTTGGGGTCCGTTGTATTTTGGTATACCTTTTCTAGGTACGTTAGCCTGTGACCACGGAAATTGGCCGAGTCAAGTGATGGATTAGTACGGAGATATTGAGACAGAAGGAGGTACTGGATAGAGAGACCGGGATGGTTTTTAATGTGAAGACAACAACAAACAAGACTGTAGTCTGCATGTGGAAACAGTGACCAATAGAACAAGACAGGAGTTTAAGATTCTATCATGGGATTAGTTCATAGGTTATTCTCTCTTCAACAAGCAAGCACGCACGCAGATATCAAGCATGCCGTGACCTGCACATATGACTCGCATCCTTACGGTGTAGTCTACCTATTGAGTGCTAAATCTAAGGTGAGCAAAGAGCCCGAAAAGGGCAAATGAGTCGAAGAGTCTTGTCGTGGAGCAGTGGGGAGATAAAATCGGCGTAACCGTGTGCAGTCACTGAAGATGCCTATTTGTGGCCTCCATCAAGGTATCCTGTATATCGGTAAAAGGTCTGTGCCGGCCCTCCCTGTGCCGGGCCAAGTCTGCGCCAAGTTTGACCTGTCCTACACAGGGCCACACACCTTGTTCGTGCGGCCTGTTATGATACATTAAAATCAAGTTGGGGGTGTCCCACCTTCGCTGCTGCCGCTCACTCTGTGCCAGAGGTGCCGCATTGTTGTCACCACGTAAGCCAAACGGATGTAGACTACAGAGTTGCAGCTACCTGGAGGTGGAAAGTCTGATTGAATGAAAGAAGAGTGGCATGTCACATCCACGACTCCCAGAAAGATACCTGTCGGTCGGCAGGGACATCTGATTGGCTCGTCTCCTCTCATCATCACGAAAAGTTAATGACATCCCAATAGACCGCCGAACCGACACGTAACCGTCAATGCTGAAGAGAAATTATCCCTGTTGTTGTTGTTGTTGTTGTTGTTGTAAAACCATCCCGGTTATTCGATATACTCGTAGCATAGTACTATGGTTGAGATGTTATGTACGTACGTACGAATATTGCAGTGATGAGATGCGGA